TATGCGCCCATTTATTGATCAACTTCACTACGCTCCCTCGCTCCTCCCTCTGTTCCCGGTATTAACTATAGGAAATAACAAGGGGAAGTGACTTTGAGAGGAACAGACCATGAAATGCACGGCGTGATACAGTTTTGAGGCACCGCGTCACCGATCTTGCGTAAATAACATGATGCGAAGAGGGTCCAGCTGACGAGAGAAATATCTCTCACTATAGTCATCTCCGTGTATAGCCTAATGTTGTAGTCAGTCTGAGAGCATCCATGAAGAGTTGTGACATTCCCCATACCACCTGGGAAGAAACTGCTCGCAATCGCAAAGTTTGGCGCTCCTTAATACACGCGTCGTTCGTTCAAAAAGTTTTGCCCCTAAGTTCATAATTTCTTTATTACTGATGCTACCAGGCGCGGTTCGTCCATTGAGCACGGTCGTGCAGTGCCGCCCAAAATGTTTTAATGTTCTATGACGTAAAGCACCCACAATAATAAAATAAAAGACGCCAGAAACAAACACTAGCCAAATATTATATCAAAACAAGGTCCTCACTGGCGCTGTAACTGTCATTTCTATTCTATAGCGCCGTAAAACATCTACCATGCCATGCCTAAGTTCATGCACTGTATCTAAACATAATAGGATAGTCAACAGTGGAAACCTGACCTATGAATCGCTCTTTGGGATAACCCAAGCGATGACGAAACATGTAGAGAGTTTGGCGGTACATTAATATTAATAAGACGGCACATCTCAAATGTGCTCCTGCCGAATAGCGCCGAAACATAGCCCACAGTATGCAGTCTAAAAATAACGCCATAGACTGAGCACTATTCCATGCCAAAAACTGTGGGCCCCAGAGCAATCCAGCGGAGGGCTCAAGTGAATTATGATTGGTTCATTGTCTTGTCGTTATTTTAAGTGACTCTGTGACCGTGAACCTGAGGGAGGTGAACGTGACATACTTAAGTCGTCGTCCTATGAGTTGTGCTTTTGAACGGTTTTGTAGTGGAGTGGTGAAAGGTATTACTTGAGTGTTCAGTTCTAATGCAGGATGAATGAAATTGACGTTTAGCTAAACAAACATATTTAGTTCTAAAAGTCAAAGCCACAAGTAAAAAGAATGAAAATAAAAGCACAAGGTCTTCCTTCACCAACACAAAGACCCAAAAATTATACACCATCCCATTTCCTCTGCCCTTGACTATCTTCAGCCTAAGATAGCTTAATTGTGCACGCCCACTTCTTAGACCCACGAGCCGCCCCTGGATGCTACATACAAAAGTTAAACATCAAATGAAAGCTTAGGGTGTCTGCTACACGACAGTGCCTTTACTTTCCAACATAGTCGCATTCTTTGTCGATGCAGATCTCCCAACGTCGAATAAGTTGTCGCGAAATATTCCTGTGGTTTTCCTCTGAACCAGCGACGCACATCTTCTTGAACTTCATTGCCATGCACGTTTTCCTTTGAGGTACTCCTTCAACAACATGGTAGTTTTCTCTGTCTCCCTCTCTCTCTGCCTCTTTGTCTTTCTCTCTCTCCTTTCTCTCCCCCCCCCTCACTCACCCTCTCTCTCCCTACCGCTTTGTCTTTCTTTCTCCCCCCTTCTCCCCTCTCTCTCT